CTCCGATGTGGAATATTGACACAGGCGTGTCTCAAATTCGAGACCTGATGAAAACCGAAACCACAGTCGATCCCTTCCAGGAAAGCACCACTATTGCATCATGCTGTAACAAAGTCTTTAGACGCAATTTTTTAAAACCTGAGACGATCGGGGTAATTCCAAAAGGGGGCTATAGATGGCGTGAAAATCAGTCAAAAATTGCCATCCAATGGCTGTTGTGGGAGGAACATCAAAGAGGAATCAAAATTCAACACGCCGCTAAGGGTATAGAAACCATTGTTAAGGGACATAAAGTAGACGGTTTTTGTAGCGACAAATCAAGTGTTTGAATTCCAAGGATGCTATTTTCACGGTTGCCCTCGATGTTTCAAATACAAAAGAAGCAATCCTCTGCATAATGATCCGTTGAATACATTGGAAAGTCGATACGAACAATCAGTTAGCAAAGTAGAGAGACTCCGAAGCCTTGGACTAGAAGTAATTGAGATATGGGAATGTCAATTTCGAGGAATGCTAAACGATGAAATTAGAGCCTTCACAGAAGCACATCCATTGATAATCAATTTACCGATTAACCCAGAGACGCTCTCTACGGGGGACGTACAGAAAATATCGTTGAATACTACAAGATCAAAACAAATGAATGCATAAAATATGTCGATATATGTTCCCTGTACCCCTTCATCTGTAAATATGGAAAATTTCCGGTGGGTCATCCAAAAAAAATTTACGTAGGTGAAGAATGTGTTACAGCCTCTCTGTCGCAGATGTCAGGACTTATTAAATGCCAGATTCTACCGAACCAGAACTTATATCACCCCGTTTTACCGTCAAAAATGAAAACAAATTGATGTTGTTAACTGTCAAAAATGTGGTGAAGATTTCGTTCGAGAAGAGTGTCAGCATTCTATTCAAGAAAGAAGCCTAAAAGGAACTTGGGTGATAGAAGAGGTGCTCAAAGCTATTGAAAAAGGTTACCAGATTATAGAGGACTTACGAAATATGGGAATACGATACAATTCAGCTCAGTAAAGACCAGAGGGGTTATTTAGCGGAATGATGAACAAGTTTCTACAAATAAAACACAAGCTTCAGGATGGCCCAAACATTGCTTTAACGGATGAAGAAAAAACCGTTATATTGATGCATTTTTGGATAGAGAAGACATAAAGCTGGAATTTTCAAAAATTATAGAGAACCCCTGTTTGAGATCGTTAGCTAAACTTATGCTGAATTCCTTTTGGGGTAAATTTGCTCAAAAAGAAACCAAAACAAAACCTCAATAGTCAGAGACTGTGGTGAATTCTTTGATATGCTGACTAATCCTTCTATTCATGTAAATACAGTTCTCCCGGTAAACGAAGAAACCCTTCTCATAACTTGGGAATTTAGAGAAGAGGCCTATGACGTTTCTTCAACGGTTAACGTTGTATTGGCTTCATATGTCACGGCCCTAGCTAGACTAAAATTATATTCATTCTTGGAGAAAGTGGAAGAAAGGGCAGTTTACGTAGATACAGATTCATGTATTTATATCTCTCGTAAGGGATTAGACGACATATCTACAGGAGACTTCATAGGTGATATGACCGATGAGCTCAATGGGGGTTTCATATCAGAGTTTGTTTCTGGAGGACCTAAGAACTACGCCTACAAATATACTACTTTGTCTGGAGAGGAACAGATCGTATGTAAAGTAAAAGGCATATCACTCAACTACAAGGCATCCCAAGTAGTCAATTTTGAGAAAATAAAAGACATGGTGCTGAAGAAATCTGATCCTGTTTCTGTACTTTCTCGACAGCTACGACGTACAAGAGAGCATGCAGTAGTAACAGTCGAGTTTCCTAAGGTATACAAGATAACTTCAATGAAAAGGAAATTCTATGAAGATCATACCTCTGTACCATTTGGATTTAAGAAAATAAAGTATTGATTTATTAATGTATGTAAATATTTTTTAATAAACATGTAAAATAAATGTATGCAAATGATTTTTTTGTTTTTTATTTCCCGCCTAATTGAAAATATTTTTGCACCCGAAATTGTTCAGCCTTTTTACTCCATATAAAATATTTAAAAGTATGCATTGTTATTATTAAACGCCTGCAGTAATATACACCAAAAAAATTGAGAAGCAGTGTAACCATGTGGAACTTTGTATAATCACAAAAAACATATCTTGGAAAATAAAAAATACAGCAGATTCATAAGCAGTGTAGAGAGGAAACTACGTAAAAGTAATCGATTATTACTAATAAAATAGAGTTTTGAATTCCTATTTTTACAATAATAATCATTTTACTATCTTACGTGTTGGGCACTGCACTGTACGGGTACCAACACTGTACTGCACGGGCACGAAAAATTGAGAAGCATGATAACCATGTAGAACTTCGTATCACTACGTAAATGGTTATTACGAATAGTAGAAATAAAAACTATATTTTCGATAATGGCTATACTATTTTTT